AAAGCCCTGACAACTCTCAGGAAGAAGTCTAGGCTGCCCCAAAATTTAACAGAAAGGCTACATGGATCAGGGAGGAGCCAGTCCTGTCCAGGCCTCTCCAGACTAGCCTCCAGCTCCAGACAGACAACAGGTGAGTAAGACCATCTGGGGCATCCACATCAGAAGAACCACACATCTGATATATACTGTTTTTGTCTTAAGCCATCAAGATTTGGAGTGGGAATGTGGCTTAGTGGTAGAGTGCTTACCTAGCATGCATGAAGCCCTGGGTTCGATTCCTCAGTACTACATACACAGAAAAGGCCAGAAGTAATGCTATGGCTCAAGCGGTACAGCACTAACCTTGAGCAAAAAGAAGCTCAGGGACAGTGCTTAGGCACTGGCAAAAAATAAAAATTAAAAAAAAAAAAAAGATTTGCAGTGGTTTATTGAGATGCCTAAGCCCAGTCTCTCCTTCAAGCTCTGAAACAGTATTCTTGGGTGTTTGTATCCACACACTCAGCAATGAAAGAACCACCCAAGAATACACCATCCTTGGTCTGGAGGGTTGCTGTACTCCTTCAGGAAGCGAGCAAAGGAATAGGCCTATCCATACCTTCTCCCCTGCCTGTGCAGTAGGCCTGTCCCCAGGCAGCCCTGCAGGTGTCAGGTTATTTGGGTGACAGGTAACAATAGCATGTTTCTACCACCCTGTATCCCAGCCCAGTGTTTTTCTGCTTCTGAGGAAGAAGATCAGTCCCCTTGTGAGCTGCTGCAAGGACTCGGAGGTGTCAAAGGGTGCTTTGGTAAGCCTGAAAAATCCAAAAGCAGCCTCTGGCCCCACTTAGCAAGTAGCTTGCTGTTTCCAGAGAAACATAAAAGTGAGCGAGTACCCAGGAAAGCCAACCCAATCCGTGGCACTTTGATAAGGTGACATCATTGCCTTCTCCAGTCCAAATCCACTTTTTGGTGAATTGCCATGGAAAGAAAGCATCAACCAATTAGGAGAATCTCCAGGACAGGAGGAAACTCAGCATCTAAAATACCTAGCAGAGAATTCCTTGTTAAGAAGAGAGAAAACAAAGCAATACTCAGATGTCACCTTTCCCTAGCATATTCATATTGGACGAGGATATAAGAATTAATTAGGGCAGGAGTTTCTATCTACTGCAACATAGAAGATACAATTAATTTTGCTGTTTGCACAGACCAAGTGCCCCTTCAGATGGGGACATATCCTCAATGCCACTCACCATTTTAAAAAAGGATTTTAGTCTTGGTTAGTTCTAATGAAGCTTGCAATTAAGATGGGTCTTTTGTTTACTCTCCTGTTTGCAAAGCCCTAGCCATCTATCAATAAAACCAATGTCTGGATTATTCATTTCTCATTGCTCAGCCTATGGGCAACAGAAGAATGTTATGAAGCCAACATGTGAGGCTTTTTCTCCTCAGGGAGCAAAGGTATCCCTCCCCGCTCTGCAGAGATCATTTGTAATCTGGATTCTGACAGACAGTGCCAAGAGGGCAGAGATCCCTGGGAAGCAAAGGCTTGGTTCTTGCTACCCGCTGACATTTAGTGGTATAAGATCTTGAATAAGTCCTTTACTTTGAGAAAATTCAATGCAACAAGGGGGTAGTGACTAAGATATTATTTTCTTTTTTAAAAAATATGGTTAAAAAACCCATGAAACAAGGTCTTCACAAACATGGGAAGACATGGCCTTGATTAGTACAAGCAAAATGTCATTGATCTTCAATAACTGAAGCTGTATCCACTGAGCATCAAATGTGTTTGTTCCCTTCCTCATCCTCTACAGCTCCCATTCTATTGTTTGCTTCTATGAGCTTGAATACTTTAGATACCTTGAATAAATGGAATGATACAGTATTTCTCCTTTTTCTGGTGGTACTATACCACTTGAGCCATGCACCCCAATCTGTTCTTGTTATACTTATTTTTCAGATTGAATCTCTTGTTTTGCTTTGGATGCAATCTTCCTACCTTTGCCTCATGAGAAGCTAGGAAACTACAGGTGCATGCCTATATGCCCGGCATATTTGCCCACATCAGCCTTGAACCACAACCCTCTTTACTGCAACCTCATGAGTAATTAGTATTACAGAAGTGAGCCACTGCTCCCAGCTTGGTATCCATCCTTTCTCTTATTTCCTTTAGCATAATATTCTCCAGGTTCAAACACATATTCTTAAAATATACTTACATACTGCTCCCTGTCTGTCTGCTATGTGGTTATACATTAACTCATTTAATCTTCACAAACCCTGTGAGGTCAAATACTATTTTTATCTCTTTTCAATGGATGAGGACAGTCATGTGCCCAGGCTTACCTGGTATGTGTTTTCTGATCTTTTCTCTTGAAAAGGTGACACTATGTTGTTTATGTACAACTTAAAATCTGTCTTTAAAATTTTTAATTATTTATTTATGACAATCCAGGGGGGTTTGAATTCAGGGCTTTGTGCTTGTTAGGCAGGTGTTCTGCTTTTGCAGACCATTTTGCACTTGTTGCTTTTGAGATTTGGTCTGATTTTTTTTGCCCAGTTTGGCCTAAACTGTGATCCTTCTTCTATACAGGCTTCCTGCCACAGCTGAGATGGCAGGAACATGCCACCATGCCCAGATTTTTCTACTGAGATGAGATATCACAAACTTTTTGGCTAGGCTAGCCTAGAACCACAACCCTCTTAATTATAGCCTCTTGTATAGCTGGATAACAGATGGATCCAACCTTGTCTGACTACTGGTTGAGATGGGGTCTTGTAAACCTTTTTGCCAGGGCTGATCTCAAATAATAATCTTCCTGATTCCTGTCTCCTAAGTAATAACAATAATAAGTATGTGCTACTGGTGCCAGAAAAAATATAGCATTTTAGATAAATTTGTTCACAGAGATACTAAAGTCATTGAGGACCATGACCACAGATGTGGCAGAGAGAATAAATAAGAGGCGACATCTGAGAGATTTTCCTTGGTGTGTGTCGTTCCTTAGGGCCAGGAAGGGCTGTGTCCACTCCTGGATCTATGAACAAAACCTACAAGTTGCCTGCCTCACGGAGATCACATTTCAGCAGTAGAGACAAAGGACAGACAATTCCAGTAATGTACAGTGTGGAGAAGAGTAAAGCATTCTGGTAAAACACGAGCATGAAAGGGGCTTGAGAAAGGTGAGTTGGTATTTTAAAAGGGTGTCTTTGAGAAAATGGAATCTGAGCAGAGAAGGAGGTAGGGATCTGTCATGGGGTGGGGAAGAATATAGGGGAGGTAGAGGGAAGAGTCAGTGCAAAGATCCTGAGCAGACAGCTCTGCATGAATAATCATGATCAAGCTGGAGCCAGAGCAGAACAACAGGGAAACTAGAAATGAGACAGATTAAGGATGTGGGTGGACAAGCTCAGTGGCATGGAGATGGGCGGGGTCTTGTGCAAAAGGGTGATGTGATCTGGTGTTTGCTTGTGGTCATGTGAGTGCTAATGGTTCAGATCAGGTATTAGATGTAGGAGATTATGTATATGACTCACGGCTGGCCATAGTATTCTGATGCATTTTAGACATGGAGTGGGAGAAAATAGGAAGTCAAAGATAAGAGGTAAGAGTTTGTCTAGAACAATTAGAAGCACAGAATATCTATCAGATGACAGTGAAGCTTGTGGATGAGTCAAGTTAGGAGCGTTAAGATCTGAACTGTGTTCCCCACAAGAATTTCTTGAAGTTCTAGTCCCAGCACCCATGAAAGTGAGCTTATTTGGAAAGTCTTTAAAGAAGTAAACAAGTTAGGTCATTAGGCAACCCTAATCTGACAAGACTGAGGTCTTTATGAGAAGAGAAAAACCAAACACCCATGTAGTAAGATGGGAGGACACCGTGTGATGTAAGGGATTTATAGGCAGACACCAGAATGACACTATATAGCCAAGCAAAACCAAAGTTTGCCACGAAGACCACCTAAGACAAAGGCAGAAGTAGATTATCTCCTAGAACCTTCTGAGAGAATATAAAATAAACATTGATTTTGGATTTTTACCCTCCACAGCTGTGAGAGAACACCGTTCTGTTACATTAAGCCATAGACTAAAAACTCTTGAATCGGAGCTGAAATAAAGCTTTCTTTCTTTAAGTTGATTTCTCTCAGGTATTTTGTCACAATGATGGAAAGATGACTAACACATTGCCCTCAATGGAATAGTCAGGGACAGCCTTCCAGCCTATTGCACATCAACTTTTTATTCACACATGAGAAACCTTTGCCAAATGCCTTGTTAAAACCAGAAATGCTGTATCATGTTCCCTGAGCGCCCACTCAGGAACCTCTGGAAGAGCCTCAGGTGCCTGTAGCTCTCATAAGCCCTTGCTGGCTCTTGAGGATCACTGTCTTCTGATAGTCAGTTATTTCAGCAGTGTCTTCTAGACTCATCACCTAGAAATCTGCAATTACTTTTCTTTCCATTTCTGATTCAGCCACTTTTAGTATTCTGTCACCTTCCCCTTTCTCCATGATTCTGTGAAGCTCACCAGAAACAATTCCATTGCCCAGCTTTGCTTCAGTATCCTAGGATATCACCATCTAGATCCGAAATCTGAGCTCAAAGTAGTTCAGTGTTCTCTCCAGCAGTCCTGGGCTCTGATTTCCCCTTCACTGCCAAGAGCCGTGTACTTGCCAGAGTCTGCAAGTACTTCTTTTAAGAGAGCCTTTTTGATTGGTGGTACTGCTTGCTAGGCAGGCACTCTACCATGTGAGCCACGTTTTTTATCTCTTTTGCCTCTTTTGGTTATTATTATTACTATTTAAAATAAATTTCAGAATAACTTTTATTGAATATTTCATCCATAATTCAAAACTTTAAGAATTAAACAATACTACAATTGTTACTAATGTATACCACTAGTACAAGACAACAGCTTTTTGAGGTGAACATTTTATTGTACAAGTTATGTTACTTTGTTTTTTTTTTCAAATTTTTTATTGTGATTAAGTGGTTACATAATTTCCCAAATTTCACAGTATTGTGCGATAGTGAAGCTTAGTTAAAGTCATAAACACAATCTAACTTTCATGGATTGAATTGTCTATCATGGTCTATAACATTTATGAGTTCTATGAGCTTTGCGATACACTTATTTCTTCCACATTGGGTGATATGTACATTTCTTTTATTTTGCATAGCATCAGCTGTTCCCTCTTTCCCACCTGTTCCCTCCCTCCCATCGCTGCCTTGAGTTGCTTAGTTCATTTTGGTCAATGTCCAGTGCAGCTGATGGGTCCTGCTGTTGTATGTTTTTCCCTGATTCCCTCTAGTTCTGTGTCATCTTCCTGGTTTACCTCCAGTGTGCACATATATACCATATGTGTGATCAGCAGCATGGTGTTATTTAGTAGTGATTCGACCAGATGACTGGAAGTCCTTTGTTTCTTAAGTCTTGTTAATTTTGCAGTATAACCTAACATTTTGGATTTAACATCCACTTATCAGGGAGACCATGTGCTATTTGTCTTTTTGCACTTGGCTTACCTTGCTCAACATGATTTCTTCTAGCTCTATCCATTTCCTTGCAAGTGCCATTATTTTGTCCTTTCTAGTGGCTGCATAATATTCCATTGTGTACAGATACCACAATTTTTGGATCCATTTATCTGTAATGGGACATTTGGGTTGTTTCCATATCCTAGCTATTGTGAAGAACAGTGCTGCAATGACCATGGAGGTGCATGTGTCCTTGTATATTGGTTCCTGTTGTTCAGAATAGATGCCTAGAAGTGGTATGACTGGGTCACTTTGGTTGTTTTTGAAGTAAGGCCTAGGCTGTTATCCTCCTGCTTGCCTTTCCAGTGTTGCTAGGAATGCAGGTGCATACCACAATACCCAGCCATGTGCTTCCCCAGTTGCTGGGATAACAGGCATATGCCACTATTGCCAGCCACTGACTCAGATGGAGAACTTTCATGGCTGGGCTTGAGAACTTTTATGGCTGGGCTGGTCTCAGAACCATGATCTCCTGAATTCCTCCTCCCAAAGTAGCTAGGATTACAGGCTTGAGCCATCACACCTGCCTTTAAATCCTTCTTTTTAATACTCCTCTAGACTCACTCGTCTCTTTACCTGTTCTCTCATGCATTAGTTAGAGTGCTCCAGAGAGACAGAGCAGCAGAACACATACAATAGTAAGAGTAATTTTGTAGACTGGCTCACACTATTACAGAGTCTGTAAAATTACACAACAGATATCTTGCAGGCTGGAGAGCCAGTGATACTGGTAGCTGCTGAGTTACCAAAACCTTAGAATGAGAGAGGGGCCAATGATATAGCTCCAGTCTGATGTGGAAGCCCAAAAGTCCCCAGGAGGGTCACTGGTGCAGGTTTAAATTCAAAGTCTGAAGAACCTAGCGTCTGATGCCCAGGTGACAACAGTGGCAGAAAATACAGTCACTGGGAAAAGGAGAGTTAGAGAGAGAAGGAAAGGAAGAAGCCCCATAATCCCCTTTGAGGGTATGCCCCAATGAACTAAGCACCTCCCATTAGACCCTACCTCCTATAGGCTCACCACCTTCTAACACTACCACTGTGGAAATTAAGCCTTCAACACTCAGGATTTTGAGAGCACTCAACATACAAATTATAGCATCTCATTTCACCACCTTCCCAGAGAATATGTGGTCCTCAGGAAATATTCCTAATAAGCGCCAATGTCACAACAGTCTCCCACTTGGTAGCTTCCTACTTCCAGGGGGTACTCAGACCCTGTGCATCACAGGATGATCTCTCCACTTCAGGACATCCTCTGCCCATCTAGCATTTATTCTATCACCATGATCAAAGCAATTCAAGAAACTGATGACAATTCACTGATCCTGTGCCAGTAAACTTTAAAAAAAAAGAAAAAAGAAAGAAAATGCACACACTTTTAAGTCTTAACAATGATTATAAAGATGATGATGATGTTTACTAAAGTTTAAATGTGTCCTCTAGAAGTCTATGTATTAGAAACTTAAGCCCCAAACATATATGTTAATGCATTTGGAGGTGGAGCTTTAGGGAGGTAATTGGGCTAAGATGAGCTCACCAAGGTGGGGCCCCGAAAGGACATTAATGGCTAAATGAGAAGAGCAAGGAGACCCAAGCGTGTTCTGTCACACCGTGTGATGCCCTGCATCATGCACATAAATGAACATGCTAAACAGAAACCCTTTTGTACTAGCTGGATGTAATTTCAAAAATTAAATTAATCACATGGTCTTATTTTGCTATAGTAACAACAACAAAAAATGGTGTAACATACTGAAGAAAAAGAAAACGTTGGATAGGAGAAGAAATTCAAGTCAGTCCAGCAGCGTGTTAGTGTCTCTAAGTGAGGAGTCTGAAAGCTAGGATGCCTATGTATATAGGCACACTGAATTGTATGTATGTATGTATGTATGTGTGTGTGTGTGTATTAGGTTATTCATAGGTATTTTATTTTTACTTGATCTTCCAGAGGGCTTTTGTTTTCTCTCTGCTTCTTAATTCCTCCATCTCTGGGACTCATTGATTCTAACACTGGAAAATCCTTTAAATGTATGAGCCTGATACTGGTGACTCACATTTGTAATCCTAGCTACCTCAGAGGGTGAGATCTGAAGACCACAGTTAGAAGCTAGTCTGAGCAGAAAAAGTTCCTGAGACTCATATGCAATTAACCAGCAACAAAGCTGGACTGGAGGTGTGGCTCAAGTGTTTATAGAGCTCCAGCTGTGAACAGAAAGTTAAGCAAGAGTGTAACGACCTGAGTTCAAGCCCTTGGTACCTGCAAAAAGAAAAAAAAATGAAAAAAATGAAAAGAAAAGAATGTGTAGAAGGATTTTTTTTAATGTATGGGAAAATGAGGACAGAAGAGATGGCCAGAAAAGATGGAGGTAAAGTTGCAGATTACTTGCATAGTTTAAAAGATAACATTTTAATTTGTCTATCACCTCCCCACGGCTAGACTAGACATCCAGAAAAGATACAGAAAGTTTGATGTAAAAATAAATTCTTCTTTAAATAAGAAGTGAATGTTCTGAACAGCTTCTTCCTGGGGCTTTGTATTTATTACTCAGTTTCACAGAAATTGCCAGTCGGGAACAATCAGTTCACAGGCCTGTTACAAAAGATCATTTTCTGAGAACGTATAAGGAATGGGGCTCTGCTGAAAGGGGTAGGGGGGCTGTGTGGGACCAGTTTTCTCTGGGGGAGGCACTAGGAGGCTCTAGCTCGCCTCCTTCCCCATCTCACTGTTTGTCACTTTGGGTGGGAGGGGGAAGGTGTGAAGTCATTCTTAAACATTAGTGAAGGTGTACATCTCAGACATTTTAAGAACTGTGTACTGCACCCAGAGAGCTAGATGTTATTGCGTGAAGAGGGGAAGAAGAGGTGCAAGGCCAGCTGAGAGTCAGAAACTACAGCTATCTCACATTTGCGTTTTATAGTTGGTTTCAGCAGAAGGTATAAACACTGCAGGATGGCTTTCTAGCTCATTATTAGGATGCTTGCAATTTCCCCTAACTGTTCTCCATTGAGATCATTTAGCTTGGAAAAAAAAAATGAGAAGGAGATCACATAAATTTCCAGGGAAAAAAGCAGGTCACATCAAGGACTTAAAGTGGCACCAAAAGTTGGAAGGCAATAGAGAGCCACTTTTAAAAAAACCGGAAGGGAAATTACTTTCACACGCAAAGGGAACTTTCAGATTCATGTGACCTCAGAAAATTTTGCCTCCCATGTATTCTTTCTCTAGAATCTGCTGGAAGATGTGCTTGCTCAAATAAAGTGGTACACACACACACACACACACACACACACACACACACACACACACACACACACACACACACACACACACACACACACACACACGATGTGGTATCCAAGGAAAAGAGGGCTCTCAACCATAAAGGCACAGCGAATGGAAATCACAGATGCTACTAGGGAGCAGGCCTGAAGAATGACAAGTAGAGGCTGGAGAAGGAAGATGGGAGATTCAGTAGGAGTGGTCAGTGCTGAACTGACAGATTCTGGGATGCTCAGGAGCATGTGACAAATGGCAGCAGTAGGCACAGGATGATAAATCTACAGGAGCATTTGGGAGAACAGGCAATGAGTATGTAGTGAACTAAGCAATCTTTTAAGGGCAATTATTAACTCAAAGAAAATGAGTTGTATGGGAAAGGAAACAATCCTAGTAAAATAACTGGTTCTCTAGTAAGTAACATTTAAATCATGCTCATGGTAGAAACTGGCCTCAGGGACTGCTTTTTGCATATTTCTCTTAGAGGGTAGAGACTAATAGACTAGTTCTATTCACAGGAAGCCAGCTGGTAAGGTTTAACACCCAAGTACTACTCCAAGCATCTGATCTAGGGCACTAACCAGGAAGAAATAGCCAAAACACATTAAAAGTTATTCTGTAAAGTGGGGTTAGGGGCCTGGGCAGGGGCTGAAGACACTGCTGTTTGCCTTTTAAACTATGTAGTGTTTTTGTTTTTTTAAATCTGTTCAGAACCCAAGGGAAAAAGGTGAAGAAGGGCAGTGGTGGAGCTCACTGGACACCGATAAAAGTGAACTATATAACTTGTGGGTGGAGATGGGAGGGAGGGATGGAAGAGAGTGAGGGAAGGGAAGACACTATACAAAAGGAAATGTAGTCATTATGGGATTCATGTAATTGTAATCCTTCTTCTGTACATCAAAGTAAATAATATTTTTTAAAAAACTGAAAAAATTAAATGATTAAAAAAATTCATTCTCTTGAAATTTTAATATAAAAATCATTTAATGGAGAAAGGAAACGACAAAGCAATTCAAAACAAGGGAGACTGACATGGAATGAGGAGAAAGAAAAATATAACAAAATGTTTAGCGTGAAATGATTTGAGCTCAGAAGCTATAAATGTGATTTCCCTGCTGTGAAACTTCCCAGCGCGGCATTCCTGCAGTGCTGGGCTCCTTTCCCCGACCAGGGCTTGCTTAACAACCATCTTCCTTCAGAGACAGGGGTCAGCCACTGAGAAGTTTCCCAATATCTCCAATCTTAACCTGCTCCCAGCACACATAGAGACCTCCTCTGAGAAATATGTGTGCTAAGACTTGTCCTAGCTTCCAGATGGAATGTTCTGGAATGTCTGATGCCTAGGCAGGAGATGCCAAGAGCTCCAGGTAACACACACAGGACAGGATAAGATGCAGCTCAGGACAGGGTACAATGCAGCTGAGGACAAGTATAGAAACACTGAGCAAGGAAGAATAGGCCTGGGTCACCTAGCCATATTTTACCTCAGGGAGAGTTCATGAGGAAGGTCAGTCAGCAAGGACAAACTTCCTGAAGAGGATACAAAAGGTACTTTCATTTGGTAGAGAGGGAGGGGCTTCTTTAAGGGCATAAAAGGTAATGTTCCTCCTCAGCTAGGAAAAGGTTAAATTATACTGATGTTTACTCTTATTTCCATGTCCAGAGAGTTGCACTGGGCTATTTATTTTAGTCATCTCTCTGGTGTATTCAGAGACCTTAATGAGAACAGAAAGTAAACAAAACATTTGATTGAAAACAGAGATGTCAATATGAGCCCTCTACCTATTGATACAGTTGAAGACAATTTCAATAAGCTTGAAACAATTAGGCTTTTAGACTGCTGCCTGCAAAGCTCAGGAAAATAGAAACCTCTCCCTCAGGGTGTACAGGAAAAGAAACCACTGTTTGGTTGGTATATTTTTTCTGATTAAGGTAAATGCTTGGATGTTATGATTTCTGTTATAAAGTTATGTAAAAGTACATTGTATTTCTATTCTTAGGACATATACATTGAAGTAATTGGTAAAGTATCATGAAGAATGTAACTTGTTGGGCTGGGAAAGTAGCTCAGTGGTACAGCGCTTCCCTTGCATGCATGAGGCCCTAGGTTCGATTCCTCAGCACCACATAAGCAAAAAAAAGAAAAAAGAAAAAAGCCGGAAGTGGCGCTGTGGCTCAAGTGGTAGAGCACTAGCCTTGAGCTGAAGAGCTGAGGGACAGAGCCCAGACCCAGAGTTCAGGCCCATGACTGGACCCAAAAAAACAAACAAAAAAAAATGTAACTCGTTCTCAAATGATCCAGAAAAATACTATGCAGGATTATTAAAAAACTGTATCTGAACTGGTTCATGCCTATAATCCTAGCTACTTGGGAGTCTGGGATCAGGAAAATCAAGGTTTGGGGCCAGCCTGGGTGTATATATACAGGAAGATACTCCCTCATATCTCACAGTGACCCAGGTCATTCTAGCTATGTGGAAGGCTGAGATTAGGAGGGCTGTGGTTCCAGGCCAGTCTGGGAAGAAAAGTTCAGTAGGCTCCATTGCAGTGGAAGAAGCCTGGCATGGAGGCATGTACCTGTCATCACAGCTATGATGGGAAGTACAAAATAAGTAGACCCCTGTACAGGTGTGGGCCTTGGCAAGAATCAAGACCTATCTCAAAAGAGCCAGTA